CAGCTCTATTTTGGGCAGCGAGCTGTGGAGGAGCCGGCCCAGCTGTCGGAGAGCGTTTCTGCCTGAGCGTAATCTCAGAGGACAGGGCGGCGGCCAGACTCTCCCAGACACCCGCGCGCTAACGTCTCCCCCCCCCCGACAAAAATGACCCAAATACGCAGTGAGTCGAGGCGTTCGGCCGCAGACGGGCCGCCGGCGGCCGAGGCGTCGGGCTGTGGGCTCACGTGAAGTCTGACAGCCCACCGAGCAGAAAGCCACCCAAAAACCGCCATTACTGAGAGCCAAAAGCCACCAAAAAACGCCATTACTGAGAGCTGAAGAGCCGAAATCCACCAAAACCGCCATTACTGAGAGCCGAAAGCCACCAAAAAACGCCATTATTGAGAGCCAAAAAACGCCATTATTGAGAGCCAAAAGCCACCAAAAAACGCAATTAATGAAAGCCAAAGAGCCCAAAGTCACAAAAAAACGCCATTACTGAGACCCAAAGAGCCGGAAGCCACTAAAAAATGCCTCTATTGAGAGCTGAAGAGCTGAAAGCCACCCAAAACCGCCATTACTGAGAGTCAAAAGCCACCAAAATACCATTACTGAGAGCCAAAAGCCACCAAAATACCATTACTGAGAGCCAAAAGCCACCAAAATACCATTACTGAGAGCCAAAAGCCACCAAAAACCGCCATTACTGAGAGCTGAAAGCCACCAAAAAACGCCATTACTGAGAGCCAAAAAGCCGAAAGCCACCCTAAAAACACCTCTATTGAGAGCCAAAAAGCCGAAAGCCACCCGAAACTGCCATTACTGAGAGCCAAAAGCCACCAAAATACCATTACTGAGAGCCAAAAGCCACCAAAATACCATTACTGAGAGCCAAAGTGCCGAAAGCCACCCAAAAACCACCACTACTGAGAGTCGAAGAGCCCAAAACTGGAAGCAGAGCGGCATCAGACGGAGCCTTTTAAGCTCCCTTCAGCCACCCAGAAGCCAGCAAGGGGGCGTGTCTCCGAGCTTGGTGATGGTTTTGGCTGCCGCCCAGCGTCTCCTGAGATCAGGAGCCTCCAAAGAGGCGTTTTTTTCCCGCCATCCTCTGTCATTCTGAGCATCCGACGGCTCCGGGAGCTGTTGGGGCCCTCAGGTGTGTCTCAGGTCAGCTGAGGTGAGCAGGTTAGAGCAGAGGGAGGGAGGCTCCCTCCAGCTCTGACTCATCTGTTATTGGATGCTTTTTTGTCTTCACGCCCAGTTGCTGCTGACTGTTAGACAGAGTCTGAGGACCAGCCGGCAGCTCTCCATTTGCCCAGCAGCACATCGGAGGGAAATGAACCTGTTTAGTTTATTACAGATTGTGATGAAATCTTCTGTATCTGCCAATCCGAAGAAGCCTCTGACTGAAGAGACTCTGTTTTCTGTGGGTCTTTGCTCTCCGGCAGTTCTCCAGAACTGCCCGCATGCTTTTGCGTCTCCCGTTCCCTCCAAATCCCAGCAACTCCGGATCCTGCGGGGCCTCCACGCCCCAAAATGGCCGCCTGGAGCC